TGTGACCGCGTTGTGACCGCGTTGTGACCGCGTTGTGACCGCGTTGTGACCGAACAGTGGCAGAACAGGGCAGTGGGGTGGACAGGCGGAAGTGCAGAGAAACGGCAGCGGCAGGGCAGCAGTGGCAGGGCAGCGGAGTGGCAGGGCAGCAGTGGCGGAGTGGCAGGGCAGCTGTGCAGAGTGGGCAGGGCAGGGCAGCAGTGGCAGGGCAGCTGTGGCAGGGCAGCTGTGGCAGGGCAGCTGGCAGCAGTGTGGCAGAGCACAGTGGCAGGGCAGCGGCGGAGCAGGGCAGCAGGGCGAGTGGCGGGGGCAGCAGCAGGGCAGCTACAGTCGCCACAGTCGTCACTGGCGCGGTTTTGCTCGGTTTGATTACGGGGTTCGCTCGGCTTGATTCGGGGCTCACTCGGTTTGATTCCGGGGCTCGCCCGGCTTTGCATCAGGGCTGCCGATCGCCTGCGTCGCTGAGTGCATCGTTCTCAGGGTGAGGGACCAGCTCGACGAGGAATTGGAAAACCTAGTGTCAGCAACGTGTTGTGTTGTTGTGTTCTTCACGCCGTGTGGTTTGCAGTGCTTTTACGATTCGCCTCTGTTCGTCGCGATGCTGCTGTAACGGTCACTACGTGTCAAACAAGCTCGATTGCAAGATCCGCGCGTTACGACTTCCGTCATGGCTTGATCGAGAGGACCGCCCCCAACGCGGTTATAACAGACTATTGGTCACTACAGGTCACTACAGGTCACTACGGGTCACTACGGGTCACTACGGGTCACTACGGGTCACTACGGGTCACTACGGGTCACTACGGGTCACTACGGGTCACTACGGGTCACTACGGGTCACTACGGGTTACAATGCGGGACAAGATTGGATCCATCGGGCGGATGCGTGTCACAGCGTAAGAAGTTCTATCTTGTGTTTCTGATCCTGTTCTAAATCTGTATTCTCAGATTTGATGTTTCAGTCTTTTTTGCTAGTTTTGTTGCGACTAACTGCTGGTTAGCTTCAATGCCGTTGAGTGGCGAATCCTTCCTGCTTTGCTCGCGGCCGCTTGTCTCCGGTCGCCGTAGCTGTCTGTGTGAGACAGTGATCAGCGACAAGGGCCATAGCGATGAGTGGTGTCAGACTGCAGTGCAAAGCAGTGCGCCCTTCATCGCTGACGCTGCACCCACTAATCTTTCAGCAGCGACTTCTGCACCCTTGCGCGTGCGAAAGGCTCAAGACATCAAAGGATGCAGATTGTTTAAGCAGCCAGCTGGACAAGCAGGCTGACATAGAACTTGTGTGGCCTCGAAGTAGAGATCGTTCACTACTTGCTGCACGTTCGAAGCACGTCACTTGCAAACATGGCCACACCGACGATTTACATCATGCACGTCGCAAGGTTGACGAGTGAAACCCAGAGCCCGCACAGCTGCGAGCACGGATTCTCCAATTTCATTCACGAATCTGCCAGAAAAATCACGCTAACAAGTAAGACTCAAAGTTGAAGAACGGCAGGGCTGGACAACGCTTACGCAAAATTGCTGTCATGCTTGAAGCGTTCTACATCATGCTGGCAGGTGAGTACTGGCTGAGCAAAGCAATTCAAGCGCTCTTCCCCGCATTTCTTCAAATGGATTGATCGCGTCTGTCGACCAAGAGCGCCTCTGTGGAACTGCTTTTGACCAGCACTGGCCTCTGTGTCGCTGGTCCTGTACCCGTGGCACGCCCCGCTTGACTTGAAAACTTGAACGCCGTAGCCTGCTCAAGGAATGTGAGCGTTGAACTGCTGTCTGCTAATCCTGGAAGTCAAGCAAAGCTGCAGCGCAAAAAACGTCAGTGATGCTGCTGCTACCTCAGCCGAGAAACTCACACAACAAGGACGGATGCAAGTTCGCAGCGCTCAAACTCCGGCGCTGAGGCACACGCGCGCAACTTAAGCATCGTCCGCTGGTGGCAGCGTGAACCCATAGCAATCTGCCCTGCGAGCGGGGCGGTGGCAAAACCCCTAAGCTGAAAAGTCATCGAAACCAAGTGCTGGGCTTAGATGTGCCGCGATTTACTTCTGCTTCAGGGGTGAAGGATCAAAAAAAAAATAAATAAGCATCAAAAAAAAAATAACCCCAAGGGATCAAAAAAAAAATAATAAGCATCAAAAAAACAATAACCCATTTCCTCTTGGAATACAGCGGGTGGGGGGGAGGGTTTGGGGGGGGGGTTGGGGGCGGGGGGTTCGGGGGGGGGGGGGTTGGGGGCGGGAGGTTGGGGGGGGGGGGGGGGGTTGGGGGGGGGGGGTTGGGGGGGGGGTTGGGGGTGGGGGGGGGGGGGTGGGGGGGTTGGGGAGGGGGGTTGGGCGCAGCCCCCCCCCCATTTGCAAACACAATGCTCGCACGATGGGTAGTAGTGGGTGGTGGTTGGAAAACCTTCTATTTTTTCGATCTTTTAATAGGAAAACCTCTATTTCTTCATATTCCCACAAGAAAACCTCTATTTTCTTCACGTTTTCATAGGAAACCTCTATCATCTCTATGTTTCCATCGGAAAACCTCTATTTGCATGTATTTTAAGAAAAACTTAAACTTTTTAGTATCCCAATGGCTTCAACAAGATTCATAAAGCACGCTTTGCAGTGGCACAGCTTGATAAAAACGCGGCGGGGTTGGGGTTGGCGCAGCCCCCAACCCCCCCCCCACACCCCCCCACTTGGCTTTGCAGCACGCTTTGCACAGCTTAAAAAAAACAGCGGGGGGGTTGGGGGGGGCGCAGCCCCCCCCCATTTGCAAACAATGTTCGCACGATGCGTAGAAGTGGTGGTAGTGGTTGGAAAACCTTCTAGTTTCTCGATCTTTCAATGGGAAAACCTCTATTTCTTCATACTCCCACAAGAAAACGTCTACTGTCTTCACGTTTTCATGAGAAATCCTCTATTATCTCTATGTTTCCATCGGAAAAACTCTACTTCTACATGTTTTAAGCAAAAAACTTCCTTTTCTTTGCATTCCAATGGCTTCAAAGAACAATACATAACACATACTACATTCCAATGGCTTCAAAGAACAATATATAATACATACTACATAATATATAAATATACTATATAATGAATAACTAATAATAAATTGATTAATAATAAATAATATTATATATTTTATATATTGTACATTATGTATACAGTATATATTATACAATATATACTTTATATTATGCATTATATGCAGTATATAATATGCAATATACAATATCTGATATGCAATATATGACATATAATATACCATATGCGATATATGTATATATATATATATATTTGTATATATATTTAATTTAGATTTTTTTTTTATTTATTCATGTTTATATTTACTTATTTATATACATACACATATCATATAATGTACGACAATATGAAAAAACAAATATAAATATAAATGATATATATATATATATATATATACATGTATATATATATAAGTATAAGTGTGTATATATAATATATATATATAGTATAACAGATAATATATAATATACATAATATATAATATAAAATCTATAATATACAATATGTAATATGTAATATGTATCATATAATAAATTATAGAATATATAATATGTAATATATAATATATAATACAATTTACATAGTACATACAACATAATAAATATATGATACATAATACAGAATACATAATATAAAACCTCTAATATATAATTCATAATACATAGTACATAAAACATAAAACATAATCTAGAATTCATAATACAGAATTAATACATAATACATAATGCATAATACATAATACATAATACAGAATACGTAATACATAATACATAATACATAATACATAATACATAATACATAATATATAATATATAATATATAATATATAATATATAATATATAATGTATAATGTATAATGTATAGTATATAATAGGTAATGTGTAATGTAATGTGTATTATGTAATATGTATATATATATATATATATATGCACATACATACATACATATATATACACACACGTCGACCTTCACTATCGTGTGTATATAATATATATTTATATTTATTGATTTTTACTAATTTGTCTAATTTAATTATTTATTTATACGCATAGGACCCGCAGGACCAGGCGGACAGACAAGCAGACCAGAAGACCAGAGGACCAGGGGACCACAAGACCAGGGGACCACGGGACCAGAGGACCACGGGACCACAGGACCACGGGACCAGAGGACCACGGGACCAGAGGACCACGGGACCAGAGGACCACGGGACCAGAGGACCACGGGACCAGAGGACCACGGGACCAGAGGACCACGCAGGTGGGCCGGATGGCTTATTTTTTTTTTTGATGCCTATTATTTTTTTTATTGATCCCTATTATTTTTCTTTTTGATGCTTATTATTTTTTTTTTGATGCCTATGCCTCTGCTTCTTCGTCTTCCTTCACCCAGTCCTTGTCCTGCGAAGTCACGCTGAGGCAGCGGCACAGGGAGGGCTAGGTGGGATGAAGCCGCTTTTGCCATCTCCCTTTGCTTTTGAATCGGCACAACAGCCCACCGGACCCTCCATCCGCGAGCTTTTCCTCTTGATAAATACCGCTTTCAAGCACCAAGGGCCTTGCCTCTCCAACCCAGTGACTGAGCGATTTATTCAGCTTGAGTGCAACAAGCACCCATAGCACCGATCCCTGCTGTATGCACTTTCCCACTTCCTGGCAAACATCGGCGAATGAGACTCCAGTCGACACTCCGCTCTTGTCTTGCACCTCTATTGTGAGCTTGGAGTGTTTGATGAAGAGGTCCGCACTGCTGGACTTGGGTCCAGGTCTGTACAGCCGTCCGCTATCCAAACTCTGCATGGCCGCTGCAAGGTCTTCGGGACGCAGTAGTCGCTGGTCGAGCGGGGAGGTGTCCTTTTGAAGCGGCTGTGCGCTGGCGGTGACCTTCGGAAAGCTGCTGAGTGGACATCCTCGATCAAGCTTTGCCTCAAGTTGCTCAGCTCTGGTTCCTTGCAGCAGAGGTTTCATCACGTCGCCCCACCTGGGATCGCACCCTTGTGGGTGCAGGCAAGCTTGCACAACAATACGTTGTGCGACCATGTGCTCCAGAAGGTCCTCAGCTTTGGCTCTTGTACCCTCATCAGCTGCACACGACAATCTGAAGCGTATCGTCCCCGCACAAACCGGTCAATCATCTTCATGTGACAGATGTAGAAGGCATCTGACATGCCGTTGATCGGTTGCTCAGGTTTGCTGATATAGACGTTCAGTCTGCCCAGCAAGCGGTCTAGAGAGTGCTCATCAGAGCCCACTGGCAGGAGCGTCTCACGCTGGCACGGCAAGCAAAGCTGTGCCAGCAAGATTAGATACAGCCATGTCTGTGGCCACGCAGCCTCGTCCTTCTTAGCCAGAAACACCTCACTAGCTACTGCCTGCTGGTCCTTCAGGATCCCATAGACTTCTTCCATGGCCTTCTCTGCGCTATCAAAGTTTTTGCCTTCATTGAGCAAATGGTGTAGCACCCGCAAGCTGTAGACCAAGAGACGCGGACTGCCTCCTGTCCATAGTTGCAGTGCCGCTGGTAACTCCTGCATCTCCGCCAATGAAGGGCGCAGCGGGTTCGTGGGGGCTGAAGTTGCCACCTTGACGATGCGCCGAATGTGCTCCTCCTGAAAGACAATATGCAAGGCTAGATTTGCCGAAAAACCCCCCCCCCCCCCCAGAATGGGATTGACGCTATCAAAAACCCATCAAGAAGAACTTTACGATTGAGACGGCTCTGAACATGTACAAATCACCTAAGCACTGGCATCAGGTCCTTTAGCAAGTCCAAGATAATCCATTTCGTTCCCATGGGAGAACCAGATCCACCAATTGAATTCAGTGGGACAGACTTGCCGCTCAAATAGAAGTAGATGCGTGGCATGTCACCTTGGTGCTGCAGCATGCGGTTCCAAACTTGCCGCACCGCCTTCCGCAAATCCCTGACATTGCCTTGAAGGTTGCCGATCTTGTCGAAATGGACAAAAAGAGCTTTCGCAACAGTTGCATCAGCTAGTCCGAAGATGTATTGTGCAATGTCACGTGCTCCTGTTGACGATAATGCCCTAAACTGGTCATAGTCGAGCTCTTTCGCGACGTCATGCAATGTTTTGCAGCCGTTCAAGTTGTTGTGCTTGGATTCGGCACGTTGTGCAAGTGTCAACTTGTCCCTCCAACCGTCCCCGGTCAACTTCTTTTGAATGAAGCCTTTGGTGTTCTCGTTGTTCAGCTGGTTGATAAAGTTGCGCCCAAGGGTGGTTTTTCCACTGCCAAACATCTGCGCAGCTACAGCCACGCTGCATGGCCGCCAATCATCAATGTCTTCTTTGTCGCGCCGACAATCGAGCAATTTGAGAATAACAGCCGCATTCACATGGAAAAGGTTGAAGAGCTCTGTGTCTGTTCACAAATGGCACTTGACTGCAAGGAAGAACTTTGCTGTAGTTGCCAGAACCAAGGACTTTTGACTTCCAGTCGTTGGGGGTCAGACGTTGACGCTTCTCAGGGCGCTCTTTGGCCATGTGCCAAGTCTAACTTGGGCTGATTGCTTTTGTCCTCTGTAAACCCATCGCTCAGATGCCCTTGCAACTGCACGTTGCCAAGAACTAAGCTGTTGTAGAGGCTGAAGCTCTGCACTTCTTATATTGGTGCCGATGGCTCTCTCTTGTATCTGTGTTTCAAAACTGGCCTCTGTTGTGGCGTGGCCTCTGGCTGTTTGGTTGTGGGGGCAAGTCCTTCCTCCCTGATTTGGCGGGAACTCGTTCGAAAAGGCGGTCCTGAGGGCTTAGGGCTGGCTTTTAGAAGGGTCAAAAGTGCCCGTAAAATGCGCGTAAAATCTTTTGGGCCATGGTGTGGCCTGGCGGGGTCGGAGTTTCTTCGATTGATTGGGTCGAGTCCGCCTGATTTCGGGCAGACTCTGGTAGAGACTGAGTTTCTACGTGCAGAGACTCGAGTCTCTACTATGTATGTTTGGAACAGGGAACCACAGGGATGTCAATTCTTCACAATTTTCATTAACGTTTGAAGGCTGTGGGAGTGTATGCTGCAACGGCCCTCATGTGACCTTCGTGCGGCTCGACTTTGTGAAACCGACGGGCGTTGAATGACACCGGTTGGTCGTGCATGTCGATCCACGAGCCTCCGCTTTTTCTCCATCCCTTCCCCTTCCGCAATGTGCTGAGGATGGGAATGTTGTGGGGCGACACAGAAAGGGCTACAAAGAAAACAACGTCAGGGGCCTGAAATAGCTCGTTGGTCCATTTGTTTCATGTCTGCCACGGAGAGCCCCGCGTCAAGAACTAGTGTTTAAGCCGTCCGGCTAGGCCAGTTGCGAAGCCGTGTTTTCTGAAAGGCTCAGATACCCTTCTAATTAGCCCTTCGAAATCAAACCAACATACATGCTCTAAGTATTCAGGATGGTCTAGGTGGGATCCATTTCAAGAGTTCTCCTCAGGAGCAGGTGAAACGACTGGCAAAGCTGCAAGCCAAACACCTCCTCAGCTTCACCATCGCCTTGACCATCCGGCCTGCAACTGCACAATGTAAGCAACGTCTTGAAGCGCAAGAACACACTTTAAAGTAAGTACTCAGCAGCACCTTCGCGGGACTCTTTTTCCGTTGGCTTTCGTGGTCAGTCGGGCATAGGTTTCAGAGCTTCCACCAGTTCTGTCCATTTGCTGACAGCTTGCTTGAGCAAATCTGCTTGTTGCCAGATCCCAAGCTTCTTGCACAAATCCTTGACGTGACTCTCTTCAAAGGTCACCAGTGCGTGAGCCTTTGCGAGCTCGTCTTTAGATGTTATCGAGTCAAGCTGTGGCTTGCTCCGCCAGGCGCTCAGCCTTCGTGTGAGTCCTTCTCTAAGCTTGGTCTCCTCGCTTGGAAGCTCGTTGAGTCTTTGTTCGAGGTTCTCTTTGGAAAGTGGGTTTTTTGGATCGCTGAGACTTAGAACTGTCTCTTCGCTTGTGATGCGGTTGATGTTACCGGCCATTGGCTTTCTTGAAAGTCAAAGAATGCTTCTGCAAGTACCACCCAGTACAGTTTGATCCTTTTTGGAGGGTTGCTCATGTTGGCTAGGGCGTCATTCATCTTGTCCGACTTGAACGTGTGGCTTTTGCCTGTTGTTATCTGAAAGGCATGCAAGGTCCCATTCTTATCGAGAAAGCCTGCGTCGATGACTGCCGTTTCCTTTTTGGCTGTGCAGTAAGTGTTCGGTTGGTTCGCAGCTGTATTGAGGAGCTCGAGTAGCCCTCCGTTGACCCTTTAAACATGTGTGAGTGAGAGAGAGAGAGAGAGAGAGAGAGAGAGAGAGAGAGAGAGAGAGAGAGAGAGAGAGAGAGAGAGAGAGAGAGAGAGAGAGAGAGAGAGAGAGAGAGAGAGAGAGAGAGAGAGAGACACACACACATATATATATATATATGTATATATATATATATAGATATATACATATATATAGATATATATATATATATAGATATATATATATATATATAGATATAGATATCGTCAAGACCAGAGCTCTCGCATGCAACACTTCTTTTGCTCGAAAAAGTCCGGAAGCATCTTCTTGAGCGGATCGCCGGGCTTCTCGAAGAACAGCCGCAGTGGACCGGTCCGCTCCAACATTAGCTCAGCGAGCCCCGTTTCGCTGAAGTAAATGCTGGGAATCTCGAGATTGGGGGTATCAAGACGGACCTCGGTGGTGTAGAAGACGGGCAGGGCTCCAAGAACGTCCGGGTGGTTTTGGAAGACAGCCAGCGCATCCTCTGCTTTCTTTGTAACGCTGGGCCAGCTTGGGACATATTCGCTGACACATTTCGTCTGGATGCCAAGAACGAGGAGAGAAGCTGCCTCTGTCTTATTGCACTCCGACTTCAAGTCACGAATTTTCCTTCGGTCGTCGGGACCCGGGACCATCCACGGGATCAGGTACTCGATGCCCGGCTCGTTGCGCAGCTTGGACACGACGATCTTACCGCTTTTGAGGGACTGCAGGACTTCCTCTACACATACGAAAGACTTGACATACTCCAACGGTGCAAGAGCATTCTGCATGGAGGTGACGACGACGTTCTGCAAACCACTTGTTGTTGGTCGAAAGCTCGCCCCATGGAACAGCTGTTCGAGTGTGCATTTGCTCTTGCCCAACGCCAGGCGCACAGCACAGTCGAAGTGGACCATGATGTCCTCAAACTTCTTCTCGTTTGTGTCCTCCATGACCGCATCCTGCTCGAACATCTCGATGATCTGGCCTGCGAGACTGGTTCCGTCACTCCGTGCCCAAAGTTGCAGCATTACGGGATGAAGGATGTTGATGAAGCTGTTGCCACATCGCACGGAATGAACAATACCACGCAGACGGAGGTCTTCAAGCACTGATCGAGTTGTGGAAGCGAGAGGAGACCACCAGTGAATCACCTCGACGCTGTCCAAGACTTTTCGGTCTCCGAGCTTGGCATGAGTTACAATGGCAAGCTGAAGTTGATTCCATGCAAGTGGATTCCGAGGAGGCTTCTTGAGCTTGGAGTACTCCTTTCTCAAAGCATCGAACATCAGCCGCGGATGACCCAGCAGCTGTCGCACGAGTTGACGTCCGGATGGTTCTTTGTCCAGTTCTTCGCGAAGCTCCTCGGGCAGCAGCTGCAAAGCCTCTGCAAGTGGCAAACCCCTCAACGAGATCGGCAGCAGCACATAGCGCCCGGAGTCGCTCATCAGCGTCGACATGTAGCTCTCAAGCAGCGATGTCCACACGAAGATTACCGGGCAGTTGCTTGTTTGGAGGAGGGACTCGTCCTGGGCTCCCATGAGGTTGGATACTAGTTGCACAGCCCTGTCTTTGCTAGCAAGGGTCTCGAACTGCCGAATCTCATCGATGCCTACCAGCAGAAGGTCGTCGGCGCCCAAATTCAGCTTCTCTCGCAAACACTGCATCACCTGCTTGAATGAAAGAACGGCCGCGCAGTTTTCTGCTTTCTCCGCAGGCATGCCTGACTGCTGAAGGAGTAGCTTTGAAAACACTTCGGTTGCAGCTTTGCTGTTGTCCCAATAGCTCCCCCCATTGAAGTCCACTGTCAGAGCCGCCTTCGCCCCGGCTTCGTCCCGCCAGGTCGTGCACATCTCGTGAAGTACTCGAGTTTTGCCTGTGCCCTTTATTCCGGCCGTCGTCAGGATTGCACACTTGTTTATGCTTGACCCGGACTCCCAGTAGTAGTCATCCTGTGACAAGGACCCCCGGATGTACTCCAGGATTTGATGTTTGGCCTCCTCGCGCGCGATGAGCCGTGGCATCATCGCACTGGGAGAGCGCACAGTCCAGCTTGGGCAAAGGATGTCCTGCAGTTGGGCTACTGGAGGTTGGCTCGGACTCGACTGTCTTCAATGGGTGGGGCTTACTGGGGACTTTGCCGGAGTTGACTTCGGATAGTCCTGGATGGCCTTTTGTGCATCAGGCACCTGCAGGCTGGGACATTTGGTCAGCTCACCGCATAAGCCCGTCTTTACACCTCGAAGACCCCGCCCGACCTGGACTAATCAGGAAACCGACCGTGGGGCTCGCCGTGCCCGACCCCAACAGCACCAACACCCGGTAAACAAAGAGGTGCAACCAGATTTGCCTGAAACCTGAAGCTGCCAAGAGCCCTCTGCTCCGAAAGACGCTCCCGCTCCCCGAACTGCTGCAAGCCAACACAGTGGAGACAGCTTAACCGCAAGGAGATCCTGAAAGGAAAGCAGCACCCCAAAAAGCAACAACGGTGGACCGCACGAAAAACCCACGACGACCAAGAGCCCCGGACATGCAGGAGTGTTACAAACCACCCAAGCAGAAGCCCCCCGGCCTGCACTCGTCTTGTCGGAACCCCACCGCTCGGCAAGGTCCGCGTGCTAAAAGCACTAAGAACCCAGGTCCCTTGACTCCCCCTCACGGACTAACCTGAAAGTCGAGCCTCAAACAAAAACAACCGCAACCTGGAGAGCGAGCGCAAAGCGAGCGCAAAACAGGCTGACCCCCCCACCTCGAGCCTAGGACTGACACCCCGTTCTGAAGCATCGGCAAAACACGAAGAACAACCAGATTTGCGTGAACCTAAAGCAGCCAAGAGCCCTCTGATCCCAAAGCCCCTCCCGCTCCCCGAAGTGCTGCAAGCCAACACAATGAAGCTTAGCGACGAGCGGAATCCTTGCTGAGAGGAGAGCATGACCCCAAAAACCAACAATGGTGGACTGCACGAACTGCACACGCAGAAGCGCAAAAGCCCCGCCGGCCTGAAGGGGTGCTGTTGATTTGGCTTTCACGAGCTCCTCATTGGCCTTTTTGGCCTCCTTCTCGGCCCTTTCGGCCTCCTCCTTGGCCGTGTCAACCTTCGACTCGGCCTTGTTGAACGCCTCTGTGGCCTCCTTGATCTCTTTTTGGTTGCGGTTCTGTACGGCTAGTCGAAGCCTTTGGCGCGCAAAGTCCCGATCCTCCCGGGCTCCTTCCAGATCCTTCTGGGCTCCTTCCCATTTCTTCACAGCCATGTCGAAACAT